TTTCCCCCCTTTTTCGGGAGGAGATTTTCACTGCAGTATTTTCTCTCTTCTTAATGGAGTTGTTTTTCTGGGTCCCCCGTTAGAGAAGCGTTGAACTTTTCAAATTGCCAAGAACCTCCATTCCGGCCGCCTTGCACACCCGTCCGCCCCCATGGGGGCACGGGGGCAGGCCAAACCAGACTGGGATAATACAGGCGGTTTAGAGGATGGGGAGTCAGATGATCCGTGATCCTCTCGTTGTTATGCCTAATTTGGATATGATCAAGGTGAAGGTGGGAGGAGGTCCCGGAAAATTTTGATCTAGAGAGAGCAGCATCGGCATTGGATGGAGTGTGTGGTGTGAAACAGTGCCTGGGTGTGGGCTCGCGCGGTCCCTCAGATACATACAATCCTTGGGTAAAGGGACCAGCAACCAACGGCGGTGACGTTGGAGCTCTTTACTCAACCAACGTCCTTTGCATACCCGGCCCCGCCCTTGGTTGCCCATTTAAACGCCGACCGCTCCTTCATGTCCAGAGCGGGGTGGGGAACGCGGTCAGCGGAACTTGTCCGGTGGATTTGCCGTGTTTGATTTTTCAATGTTCGTGGCTCAGCCTGATTTTGATGTGAGGAGCTCGGGACACTCGGTGACTTGGACACACATACACATATGCGGACTCTCGACTCGAGGGACGGGAGTGGGATGGTAAGGAGCTTGTTCATTCTTACGGCATGAAAGTGCACTCACACTTAAAACGTCCCTTTCGCGTCTTAGAGCCTTGTTTTTCTTTTTGCTTGATGTAGTCTCAAATGTGTAGACCCGGGGTCTCAGGGCTTGTCCCTGGGCAGAACGTGCTAGGTATCGATACATGGACCTGAATGTTCTTCAACGGGTCGATCCAGTGTGGCAATCTTGAAGGGTGTTCACGGTCTGGCGAATCAAGGCCGGAGGAGTCGGCGAGAGAGGGGGATGGGATGCGATGACGTCTTTCGTTCAGGTTTTCTAGAAGATTTCCGTTACGGGGGCTTCTTTGTGTTGATCGTTTTCACCCCACTTTCTTCTCGGGATGGCAGGGCGTTGCGCTCACCTGAGTCGGTGAGGATGCCGAAGGTTCCGGGGGTTCGGTGAGATACCGTCGAAGTTGAGATCAGGCCTGGATGAAGCCTTGATTTCTCGAGCGAAAAGATGAGGGCTTCACGCCTTACTATAGTGAGGGCTCTTGAATTTGCTCAGAAGTTGCCGTGCTTGGAGGTTCCAATCTCCAGTATTGGCCTAGTCGAGATACATTGGTAAGTGAGAATTTTGATGGATGGCTAGACGAATGAGAGTCGTTCTCATCTAGATTCTGATACTCAAGAACGGAATATGAGACTCCTAAATATTTGCAACTAGCTATGTACTCTGGTAAAGATATATATTCGAATGAAGCACACATGCATGATAGTCTTAACTGCTGTCTCAAGCAGTAGTGAACGAGTTCACCTTGATCGAGCCTCCCAACAGCTTAGTAGCAAAGTTGAAAATACCAAAGCGATACGCAATGAAGAATTCCCACCCAGAGTTCATCTTATACGCATCACCAAGCTTAGTAAACTCAACACCATCAAAACTGTAGAAAAAGTCGGCGTCCCTAGTCCCCGTCGGCCGCGCATCCAGTTCAGCCCGGAACCATACCTTGGTAGCGCCGCTCGGCACAGGTGCTGAAGCTACCTCCTTGCCTGGGTCAACGGGATTACCCGACTCCGCGTCGATGATGATACCCTGGATCGCTTTGAGGGTGTACTCGCTGCCGTTGCGGTGGATACCGATATACGCAGTCTGGTCGCGGAACGCCGCCAGCCCGAATTTGTCGCCGTCGGCCATGTTGCTAAAGTCGATTTCGACGGTTCCCTTGGGGAATTCTCCGTGGATTCGGTGGGTGAGGGTGTTTCTCGCAGAGTAAATGTCTTCAGTGACGCTGGCGGTGCGCAGGATCACGCCGTTGTTGACCTCGAAGCTCGCGACGTCGGGGTTGTGATTCCATTCCCAGGTGGGACCGAGTTCGCTTTCAAACGTGTAGGTCCGCGTCCAATTGTACAGGGGCTGAGATGGAAGAGGTAGAGGGTAGGAGGAGCCCCAACCACCGTTGCTTCCTTTCACGATCTCGGGGAAGCCATCCGCGCCCCAGACAATGGGTGCCAGCACAGGCATGCGGCCCGCGGGATACGCCCATGTGAATGACATGAAGTACCAGTCTCCTTGCGCGGTCTCAATGAGACTTCCCTGGTGGGGTGAGTTCCCTCCCTCTAGCGGCGGCGCAATGTTTTGGCCCAGGATCTTCGCTTCGTAAGGACCCCACGGACTGCTCGACTTCCAGATGTAGGTCGTGGATCCGGGCTGGTCATTGAGGATATAGTACGTTCCGTTGATTTTGTACATCCTGTTACCCTCCACCGTCTCGGTATTGACATCCGATGCCTGAAGAACCTGCTGCGTCTTCACAACACTAAGACCATCGGCAGCGAGCTGCGAAACGCTGATTTTCCCGTTGCCGTAGACCACATACATCGTATCATCATCGTCGATCAGCAACCCGTTGTCATACATGCAATTCCCACCACCAAAGTTGGCGCGGTTATACCAAGGCCCCTCCACGGACGAAGCAGTAAAGACCCAGGTGATCCAGAAGTTGGTGCACCCAATCCAGTACCATAACCCATCACTCTCGCGGTACCGCAGCGTCGAGGCCCAGGTACCACCTCGGTAGGCACGGGGCCCGCCGGGCGGCAGGTCGTAACCGTCGCCGAAATTGAGACGGGGAATGGAGTGCCCGACGGGCTCCCAGTTGACGAGGTCGAGGGAGCGGAGGATCGGGGCACCGGGGCTGTAATGGAAGTTTGAGGCGGAGAAGTAGAAGGCGCCGTCTGGGCCGACGGAGATGTCGTTGTCAGGGTAGTCTTCGTAGAGGACTGGGTTCTGGAAGGTTTCCTCGCGGCATTTTCTGATGGTTGCGGCCGAGGTGAGGAGGAGTAGGGCTGCTGAGAGCAGCAGAAAACGGGTCGACACCATCGTCGAAGAAGCACTGGCAGAGGCAGCCCGGGGAATTGAGAGCTTGGTTCAGACTTTGGGAATCTGATCGATTATCACGGGACTCTTTCAGCTACATATACTGGAATATTCTTGAGGCATCTCCTTTGGCCTTTCTGGATTACTTCGAATCATTGGTGCGGGAGGAGAGTGTCAGCCATCTGCAGGAACTTCTCGGCGGGTTGACGTCCGCTTCCTTAAATCGTCAAATGCGACGCTGTCACTTTGCGGGGTGAGAGATGCCAAGAAGAGAAACCCGCCCTAATTTAGCCATCTCGGTTTCCTGGTCTCCAGGGTTTAGCGGGAAAGGCCATTTCTTTTGGAAAAACATAGAGATCTTACCCGATTTCCAAGCCAATGATCTCGCCGCTACTATGTTGGTGCAGGATGACGTCCATCCTGTTGCGTTTTGGCTTGAGCAACGTCGCTTGCCTTAGTAGGACTTACACAGAGGGGCTAAGCAACATCCCAAGAAGTCGGGAGGCGGAGTTAGACGCGGTGGGCGCTGCCGACAAGTTGTGATGTTGGCAAAATTATTCATTGCATCAGGATAGCTGGCAACTGAACGAAATGTCGGGTTCTTGAATACAACAGAGGACAGAGGAACTAAAGCACTCTATTCTTAGTAGCAGCCATTACCATAACGAACACTGAGCGGCCCCTTTTCATTCCCGTTGCTCAAGCTTCTGCTCGTAGACAACATGACTGTAAAACTTGTCAGATCCAATCTTTTCTTCTCAAGTGCAACAGGCAAGGGAGGCATTTCAGTGAGACTCACAAGTGCAGGTAGACGTGAGTCTTGCAGGCCTTCATCTCCTGGCGGACCTGCGAGAGCAACACAAGCGCCTCCTCCCTAGTCCAGTCCAGTGCGGTGAAAAATAGCTTCAGAGTAAATGCGTCAAGCCCTTCGAGCATCTGGATAAGGTTGCCCATGCCAATGTCCTTGAGCGAAGGATCCTTTGCCCAAGGCCCGATGGGAATCTTGTAGTGTCGATGCTCGACGTTTTGAAAGCCGAGGTCTCTCACCCATGCATTCAAACTTGATCCAGGAGTTCCGTCTCGTCCAAGATTTGCGCAGGCTTCCATGAATAGGGTGGCTCATCGGTGTGTCTGGGAACTTTTGAGGGACCCATCGTCTGAGTCTAGCATCAGACTCCGGTCTTGGAACTCCGCCCAGCCGCCAGGCGTCAGGTTCCTAAATAGTCTCATTGTTACTATTCATTTTTCAAGTGCAGATGGTTAAGGGACCGCTCACTTAAAAATTCGGCTGATGTACAGTTGCCAGTCCGCGATAGAGCCAGCCATGTAACGGCTGAAGATGAAGGTGTACTTCTTGTTCCCTACCTAGGGGCTTTCGACGTCGTCGACCTCGAACTTGAAGTTTGGAGGTACCCAAGACGGCTGAATGGGACTCAAATCAATTCCGGTTACCTCGGCATCAGGGAAGAAATCTCCCATCTCGGTTGCCCCTACAATAACATTATCAGTCTCGTTCACGAGCATTGGGGTCACATAGAAGCATCCAACTACCGGTCCCGGTGCCTATGTCTAGTATGCGATGCGTCTTAGTTTCGTCGAATGGTGCAAGGAAGAGCGTGTTGCCAATGGTCTTGACCATCACGGTATGCGTTGACCCGAGTCTATCAGATTCTCTCTATAAAGAATATTGCAATCAGTGACTCTAGCTTTAAGAAGCTGTTATTGTGAAAACTTTATTTGGAAAATTATAGGCTGTGTATGTCGTTACCAGATATGTCGCTCACAATGGGGACGACACGGATCAGCTAATGCTACTCACAGCCAGCTCGAAACGCGTGATAAGTTCGACCATACTTAGTCGGATAACCCACCATTGATGAAGACAGAGAGGCAGTATAAAAAGACCTGGTCCAAATTCCCATTAGTCCTGCTTGGACCGAACCTGTAATTGACGGTTTCAGGATTAGGACTGAACTCACATGCGATCATCCATGGTCGAGGCATCCTTCTGTTCATAAGAAACGCATCAGTCACGGCAGACTATTATAGAACTTCAAGATACGAACCCTAATCACTCTTACTTCGTTGTCAACTTCGATATCGGCTGATGTTGATGGGACGTCTGCCGTAGATGCCGCGGTTGGCTGGACGGGTTGTGCCTCGACCTCACTAATTGAGCCGGACATGATGATACCTGCACGCGCTGCAACTGTTTTCTGACACAACTGAGGGGATTCAAACGAGGTACAGGAGGCCTTCAGATAATGCCATCCCAGGAAGCGGGATTTCTGAGGTTTATCGTATTTTGGCACCAACGTAGCTTGGCGGCGCTTAGTTGTAATAGCAAATATCTGGATCTTCTGCAGAGCGAATGCAACACTTACATGGAGACAGCGCATCTCGCCAATTGAGAGTAAAAGTCCGGCTGGGTTATTGCTTTTGTCCTCAAGTGAGCCAACATAGCAAGGTCGAGTAGTTCTAGTTTGACACGGATATGTTGCTAGGAATTAACAGCCCATCTGAGGCATCCAACGCCTCTAGCTGTCATCTAATAAACATATATGCATCGTCGTGGCTCATGTGATACAGGACAGTGCCATTGACGGCTGCGTAGAAATTCTCCTTCATATCCCATTCTGCCACCTCAAGTGTCAATTCTTATTAACATAAAACTGAACCTCCGCAATCATTGAGGTCTCAGAACGTATTCTGGCACCCTTGGAGCCCCTGGTCTCATCGGCGGTTTCGCCATCTCCATCTGCCCCTTTTGATTCGGTTGGTCATCAATACCAGATGTCCACTGGATTATGCCCATCATCGGCTCCGCGTGGTTCAGTATCGGGTCGTTCTTGTTGTTCAACTCGGTCGTAAACTACTTGCCAGACGCTTATCCGAATGTTGCAGCTTCAGTCCTTGCGGGCAATGATTTTTTCAGAAGCGTCTTTGGTGCGGGGTCCCCGTTGTTCGCAAACGGAATGTATACCAAATTGGGGGTTGCACGGGCGAGTTCGCTTCGGGGTTTTTGTCGCTTCTGTTCATCCCTATCCCTTTCATACTATACAAGGTAAGTCGCCACAAGTCTGCAAAATGATTTGCCATATCGCTGATTGCAGACACAGGTCGGTCCGAAGCTGCGCAGAGAGTACAGCAGACATGCGTAGAAGGGATATCTAGAGTGACCTACACACCACGCCAGTCGCGGTTCCCGTGACAACAACAAAGGATCGCGAGTTCTACAAGATCGGGTAGCATTTTCACATTCATATTTCTATTTGTTCAAATATATAAATGTTCTCCAGTTTGTTGTGGAACCCAGTCACATGAAACTCAGGTTCAACGTTCATCTAATGGTGTTGTAGAGAAGAGGGCTTATGGGGATTTGTGATCATTGAACAATGATCAACCATCAAATAGGTATTAAACATTTGCTTTACTAAAGAGCCATGAAACAGCGGACTGGCTATATTCTCCCAAAACCATTTTTGCCAGATCACCTCTGTGTCTAAGGTACTTAGTTCCCTTATGCCATCGCGCACTTAGATACTGTATCTGAAGAGTTTGTCCTGTTTATCTGTCAAGTCACTCTCAGGAGCACCACCTGCATCCAAGACGACCTCATCCTGGCTCTGGATATTCTGGCCATCAGCTTGTGCAGCATCTCTCTTCTTGTTGTCCTTTGCGCAGAGCCATCTGTACACGACAATCTCGACAAACAGCAAGCACCACGTGACGATAGCTGTGACAACGCCGTTGAAATAGCGCGGCTTCTTAGTCCAAAGCTGAGGTGCGCCGATGCATCCTGCGCAGTACCCAACGAAGAACATTGCGTTGACGATGGCGCGTTTTGTGTTTCCCTTCACGTTTGATGCCGTAAGAGAGAGAAGGATCGACCATACGGCGGTAATGCACGATGCCTGAGCATATAAGGTCAGTAAGATGCCAGGACACAGTGTCGAGAATGTTTGACTTACGATCCAAGATGCAGCAATCATACCCCATCCGGCATTGGTGGACAGTTTCATAAGAAGTACGTTGCCAATGAGGGGCGGCAGGATGAGGACGAGAGCCACCAGACTTCGTTGCTTGGGGAAGAGCATGCAGCCGCAGACACCAATCCATAGCATCCCAATCTGAACGGCGCCTATAAAACGATATTAGATACGAATCTTAGTCAATGTAATCCGACGGCATACCAGATGGAGCAGTGTATAGCATGGTCTGGTACTTGTCGTAGCCAATGCTGTTGATAACAAGTGAAGCGAACTGGAGCATCCACGGTCAGCTGTTATCGCGATTTTGAGATATAGATGAGACGAACCGTAAGGACCGGAGACTGCATGGTGACCAGAACGCCGAACCAGAACACAAACCAGGTTCTGATATCAAATACAGCCTCCTTGAGCTGCGTCATAGAAAAGGAGGTCTTGTCGCCACCTTCACGGTCCTTGGCCATGCGCATAGACAGTACTTGTTTCTGGCGCTCGTTCAAGAACCACGCATCTTTGGGGCCATTCGGCATGAAGAGGTAGAAGAGAACTCCGGCAAAAGAGGTAATTGCACCACAGACGAGGAACAACACTCTCCATGGGGCCAGGGCGTGGGTGTTCTTGGCGATGCCGTACATCAGGAGGGAACCGCAGATCTGAGCGACGCCGTTCATGGTGATCCAAAGCCTATCCATTATCAATAACACGGTATGTACGTCGGCTTTGGGAGATCTTACGCTGTTCGGAGGGCATGCTCGTTGCTTCGGTACCAGATACTTGTGATTGTAATGAAGGCGGGAGAGACGGCCCCTTCGGCGAAGCCTAGTAAGAATCGAACGGCAGCAAAGCCGGCGTAGTTGTGCGGGGCCGCGAGACACATGCAGATAATGCCCCAGATGACGCTGCGAAAGGGGTTGTCAGCAGCTGTATAAAGAGATTGCAGAAAGGGATAGACTTACACGGTGACTCCGACAAACTTGGTAAGGTGGAATCTGCTCATCAAGTAGATGAAAGGATATTCCGATACCAGCTGACCTGTTCCGCGATGGTTAGAAACTGGATAGCTCGGGGAGCATCGCAGATGTACTTACCGACGTAGAAGATAGATGAACACCACGAGTATTGCGTGCTAGTCAGGTTCAGGTCGGTGATGAGGCCGAACACCTATCATCTTGTGGTTAGCAGCTTGAAGTTGGGGCAACATTTGATGGTTCCAGAACATAGGCAGCTTACACTGGCGTAACTAAGACTTTGCTTGTCCAAGTATTGCAGAAAAAAGACGAAGCACATCTAGACAAGCAAATCAGTCGAGTTGTTCATCAGTCATGGTTGCTAAAATTAGTTACTCACCATTGGCAGGATGGCCAGGTCGATCTTGCGGAGAACTTCCTTTTCCTCTTCAGGGGTATAGCCATCCGCAAGATCAACAATTTGTCCAGTCTTCTCCTCCATTGCTTCTGAAGGGACGTCGCCTCCTTGTTGCTTGGTCATCGCATCGATCTTGGTATCGCCGGACGAGGCCATTGTTGCCAGTGCTCGTTTGGAAAGTCTGAAGTCAAAGTCAAAACAGCCTTCGTCGACTGTCTCTCTAGAAATCCCACCCTCTCGGAGAACGGCAGAAGTGCCGGTTTTAAGATCCACGAGTTCGTCGTCTCCACATGTCGCATGGCATGTCATCTGTCGACCCGGGGTTATGTTTCCATCCCCCGCACTAAGAGATGCATATCAGGACATTCTCCAGAAATCCCTTCGATTGGATGTGACTAGTGAAGATAGCGGTGATACCGGAGGTGGGGCGAGCCATGCTGCCGACGACAAAGGAGGTTCGTGACAGATACCCGACGCGGGTATCGGCAACATGGCTTCGTACTAACCAGGTTCCCGATGATAGACTGCCACGCTACCGATAAGTCTAGTAATGTCAAATGTAAGTGGTTGATAATTGCAGTATGACGAAGTGCCGTGAAATGAAACCAATCGGATAAATAAACATCTGTGGAAAAGAGTGAGCAGATATCCGAGTTGCAGGCACTGGAATTCAGCATTTGTAAACTCTTCGCTCCTTTTTTTGACTTTCCCCTCACCTCCGCCTCCATTCCAAGCTTGGCGTAGACAACCTAACCTTCCAGAAGTCTTCTGACATTCACCATGGTCACCGAAGCCGACTTGAAGCCCTGGCTCCGTAGCCCCGTCCGACGATACATCCTCACCAACGCCACCATCGTTGACGTGACAGACGGCAGCCTGCGCCCCAACGCGGCGATTCAGCTCAAAGATGGCTACATAGACACAATCACCGACTCGACAGACTCAGCAATCAAGACCGCTGTGGAACAAGGCTTCGAGGTGATTGACTGCTCCGGCAAGTTCATCTGCCCGGGCCTCATCGACTCGCACGTCCACTTCGTCGCGGTCCCTGGATTCGGCGACCTTTCTAAAGCATTCGGCAACGCCAACGATGTCTCACTTCTTCGCCAACCATACGTCGCCGCACAGATGCTACACCGCGGGTTCACGAGTGTGCGAGACTGCGGCGGTGCGCAACAGGCACTGAAGGAAGCCATCAACGACGGTGTCTTTCCCGGCCCGAGGCTCTTCATCGCGGGACATGCCCTGTCGCAAGCGGGCGGCCATGGGGACATCCGTGGTGTTCACGATCACTCCGAGTGCTGCGGCGGGTCAACAAACGGGCTCGGAAGGCTATGCAACGGCGTACCGGAGTGCATGACCGCCGTCCGAGAAGAGATCCGCGGCGGAGCCGACTTTATCAAGATCATGGGCTCCGGCGGTGTTTCGACACCAACCGACAGAATCGACCACCTCCAATTCACCGGCGCTGAGATCCGAGCCATGGTCGAATGTGCCTCGAACGCGGGCACCTACGTCACAGCCCACGCATACACAACGAAAGCTATCCGGCATTGTATCGATAACGGTGTGCGGGGGATTGAGCACGGCAACTTTGTCGATGCTCCTACGGCGAAGCTCATGGCGGAGAAGGGCGTCTATCTTACTCCCACCCTCATCACATACGCTCAGATGGCGTCGCCGAAGTGGAAGGGCTATTTGCCGCCCGAATCCATGTCGAAGAACGAGGAGGTGCTCAATGCCGGGTTGGTGGCGCTCAAGACTGCGTACGACGCCGGTGTGACCATTTGCTTCGGTACAGACCTTCTTGGGCCGCTCGGAGCAGCGCAGTCGTTTGAGTTCTCGTTGAGAAGCAGAGCTGTCCCATCGCTAGCTGTGCTGCAGAGTGCGACGCTCAATGCCGCAAAGATGGCCGGCAGAAAGGATTCGCTGGGTCAGATTAAGGAGGGCTTCGAGGCAGATCTTCTCATAACAGACGCCAACCCTGTCGAGAACGTATCCATATTTGATGACCCCGAGGCTCACGTGTTTGGTGTCTTGAAAGAAGGCAGGATATACAAGAGCAGATGGAGCGGTCTGGTCGAGGATGCCACAGTACCCGTCAGAATCAAGCCGGCGTTGTGAGATCTGTTTGGAACTTGGAATATTTGGAGATACTTAGGAGAAGAGTAGCAGCTCATAGAACCGCAGAAATCAAGGAAACTGCGTAATGATACGAAAAAAAAAGGCAATAGAAACCATGACGTACAATCAGCTGAGCATAGCAGAGTCAGCGACGCGTCGAGGTAACCTCGTAAAGTCCATGGAACTTGTGCCCTAACGCGTGACCGGCAGGCTTCATTCGCGAGAAAGGCCAGTGACAGGAAAAGTCGGAATCCCTCTCCAATACCGACGGGATGGGACGGGGCTGAAAACACAATGGTACTCTCCTAAATGAGGTGAGGCGAGGTGAACATTTTCTTCCTTTCACATCGCCGAACAGCTTAACCTTGACGCGTGATCCCTGCCGCCACAGTGGGGTCTGTTCTTATCGGCAAAGCGTCCGAAATGCGGAGAGACCCCAAGAACAACCATCTGGCTTCAGACATCTTTCTTTCTTCCACACCAACTTCCTCCCAGCACTGAACGCTCATCCCAGAGTTATCCGAGTCTCGAAGACCAAATAGACTCTCATCCATCATGACGATTCCATGTTCGTCATATGAAAGCGACACTTCCGCCAATGGAGTCTCCCGCAGAGCGCCGCCGCCGCCGCCGTAGAGTCCCGGATGCAATTCGAAAGCGGGCACCCCGGGCGTGTGATCGATGTAAGGCACGCAAGAACAAATGTATCGAGACTCCTTCTGGTGTATGTGTGCGATGTACTGAGGGATCTCATCCATGCCGCTTCGAACGGGAGCGTAGCCCAGCTGGTGAAGAACATGAGGCCTCGACTTCGACAATAACTTCGATAACCGCGGGCACAAGATCTATCGGCATTCCAGAGCGAGAGTCGAATCGAACAAACAACGATGTCTCTTTTACTCTCAATACACCTTTGGGTCAAAGCATGAACGACGAGTTCTCTCCCGCAGATAGCGCGCCTTCAGAAGCCTTCATGTGGCCGCGCTTCCTATCCCGTCTACGGGATGCCTTTTGTCTCGACTCACAGCCACCATCGGGAGATCAGGATCTAGCAAGCCTGCAGCCTCGAATATCGGATACACCTCCAGCTGATCCTGCCGAGCGTAGGCGCATCAAGAGAGCAGTGAAGAGCTTTCCCCCGCGCGGTGTCGCCGACTTTCTGGTGTCGGTTTGCATCGCTTACGGGACCGATATTTTCTTCTACCTTGACCAGAGCCACTTCATGGCAGAACTCGATCAACTGTATAATGACGAACAGTCGACTTTGAGAGAAGATGCTGGTTTTGTTTGTCTTGTCTTGGCAGTCTTCGCGCTAGGGAGCCAGTGGACAGCGCTGGCGAGACCGGAAGACCTGAGCAGTGCAGCCTCGACGGAAGATCGGAGCGTTGATCCTGGCCGGATATTCTACAATCAGGCTCGCATTTTGATCTCTGATCTACTAGACCGGCCTTGCATCAAGTCAGTTCAAGCGACTTTCATTCTGGGCGTTTACCTAATGCCGGCCAGCGCCATCAGTGCCTCCTATGTGTACATGGGATTAGCACTGCGAAAGGCTCTGGCTATTGGGCTCCACCAAGAACCTGACGACCCCTCTTTGACCGAGGACGAGAAGGAAACCAGACGCAGGCTCTGGTGGTCGATTTACTCCCTTGAAAGGTATGTCTCCTTCTGCTGCACCACGCCTCGAGACTTGCGCTAACAGCGATAGAACGGTCACCATCAAGCTCAATCGACCGCGATCCGTAGACCAGGAGATCATCACAGCGGGTCTGCCGAAACCAACTTCACGGGACGCGTCTCAGAAGTTTGACAACTTACAGCATCAAATAGCAAATGCAGCGTTCGTCAGAATCATTGACAAGCTTTCAGAGCCTGGGTCAGTTGACTTGAGTAGCCCTAAACAATGCCCCAAGGCTAATGTGACCAGCAGAGGATGGTCGAATACCAACCATTCGCACACAGGAGCTTTAAGACGTCCCACAGATGCCCAAATATCTTTAAAGGCATGGAAAAAGGGGCTCCCGTCATCACTCAAGCTGCAAAATGTCGATCCAAAGTCATCCAGCTATCGCGCCGTTTTCCACCTGCACCTCAACTACTACTTCGCCTGGATCGACATGGGCAAGGTCTCCGTGGTGACTGTTGTCCGCGGTCGTCTGCAAACGATTTTCCACGCAAGCGCCGGTCAATCCGATGTGCCTAGAGACGTAGAGCAGTCCTCAGAAGCATGCATCAAAGCAGCCAAGAAGATGCTGGAACTTTTCGAGGGCCTTTGTCGCGGGGGCAATATGGCGCGGTTCTCCTTCACAGACTTCCAAGGATGCAGCATTGCCACGATTATCGTCCTCCTTGCCGGAATCCTGGACCGTGATTCTGGGTACGAGGGGCGAGTGGCTTTTGGACTTGACTGTCTCCGCAAGATGTCCAGCTTCGGGAACACGACAGCAAAGATGGGAGTCCGCTTCGTTGAGGCCCTACAGTCCATCACGAATGAAGCTAGGTCCAAGCTGGTGATGGCTCGGAGAAGAGAGATGAGTCAGGCTCAAGAAGCCTCATCAGGACAGGCAGAGGGCTATGGACGATGGGCAGAATGGCTGGCGACTGCTGAGGTGGTTGGCAGCCCTTCGAGCGACGAGTCCGATCTCGAGGGGGAGCAGTCGGGGCAGCCGCCGGCTCCTGCTCATGGCCCATTGATATCACCAGACATCATGCTCTCGTCTCCATGGGAAGAAGCAGCAGCTCTCCAGTTACAAGAGATGTCAGCCTCGAATTTCGGCATGCCAGCGCCGGAAGGGGTGGCAGCTGAAGAAACCACGTTGATGCCCTTGCCCACGGGAGAAGAAGCCTGGCTGCCATCTTTTGCATGGAATGATGACCAGATGTACTTGATGGGTTTGACTGGTATGGATGGACTAGACTTCATGGGAGGGATTTCATAGTGCTGTCGGTTTACCCTTTGGACATAAACGGAGCAAGGATACATACAATCTGAAATGGCAACTGATCATGTCCACTTGCTAGGGCCAGCTCCTTGTCATCTGAGTTCACCCTCGTTCCCCTCGACTGCTTTGGATTTGGTCACTTTTCCATTGCCTCCAATACCTGCTCTCGGCACTCGTCTGGATGCTTCGAAGTGTCGACGACAACCACGTTGCCGTCGGGTCTGTACGGGTTCTCAATCCATCTTCGAAACAAGGCCTCCTGTTCGTCTCGTCCTTGGCACGCATTGCTGTCAACCGGAGGGCTATATATCCCCGTACGCTGACTTCTCATCGCTACCCTCTTCTGCAATCTCTCATCTAGCACATCAATGCCGACTTGAGGTCTGCACTCGATGTACCAGTACTCAAAATCTACTTTTTCCGCCAGGGCTCTCCCACTAGTGATTACTTCTTCGTAGTTGCAGGTGCAGTCTACAATGAGATTGCGGCCCTGTATGAGCATGCTGCCGGCGAGCGCCCAGAGCGTTGAGTAAGCTAGCTTTGCGGCCTGCTCAAATAGTACCCCATTATCGAGGAGAGAGGACTTGATAACGTCAAGATCGAGGATGACGGCATCAAGAGGCTGGGCTAGGAGATTTGCTGTGGTGCTTTTGCCCGCGCCCGGCGCTCCTGACATCTGGAGGAAAAGCCGCCGTGGCGGACTAGAATCTTGAGAAGGCATTACGATAGCTGAGACGCTGATTTGACCGTGTCTGTTACCAAGCGGGCTGCTGACCAGGTTTCCTCTGGCGCTGTAGTACTGCAGAGTTTCTGCACAGACTCGAAGTCTTCGGGTGAAGCAAAGAAAGAGGCAATCAAGCTTAGAAGTACTTCATGCTTTGAATATATTTATCGTATCCCTTCGGCGTTTAAAGCCAACACTGAATCACTGAAGAACATTCCTCCCAAAACCTGATCTCATATACTTTGTGCGTGCACTGCCACAGTGACGTGTCTCGATCTGCAGCATTCACTTAGCTCCCAGCCACAACGAACCGACGCCGCAATATGAATGCAGCCTGAACCATTGGTACTTGCTTCGAACATCGACGCCTAGACTCCTAAAGCCCATCACCGAGCTCTCTCTAGTTGATTGCTGTTTCCTTGCCCGACCACTTGGTTCTCTGTCATCTCAAGGACTAGGGCTTCTCCCAGTAAGCTCATGTCCCTCCGGATCCTGTCCCAGTGGAATCCTTCCCCTCCTCCTAGACAGCCCATGCTTCATGGTTGCAAAAAACCCGGGCATGTCCGACCCTTCACCATTCATTATCATAGCCGGATGTACCACGTTGAAGACCGCAATGGCGAGAAGCATCGGCAAAGCTTCCAAGACGTAGAAGTAAGCCTCGTGTGTAATCAAGACATTGTCAATCCCATGGCCCGAAGAAAACTCAATCAGGCGGTAGATGATCCGTACTGAGATCATGCCGAGGGAAAAGTAAAGCGCCCAAAGCAGAGGTTTCCAGGAGCGGGATTGCTTCCTGGAAAGCTTGTCTAGGCTGGAAAGCTTGTCTAGGCTTTGCATCTCGACCTGGAACTTCAATGCCAGGGCGACGAAGATGAGGATGAAGAACTCTTGGAGTCCGATACCGCCCATGTAGATATGAATCGCCTTCATCTGTTCCGCGGGTGGCGCTGTTGGGCCGGCCATGCTGCCTCCAGTGAGTTGAACAGCAAATGATATGAAGTCAAGTGCGACAAAGATCGCGGCGAATGTTGCGGCGGGAATGCGGAGGAGAGAGCGCGAGGGGTGAAAGAAGTAAATCATGCGGCCCAAGGTCATGTATGCAAAGGCGTTTACCCCTGAGAAAGCGTTAGACTTCTTTCAGTGGAAATACAGCTCAGATCTTTGTACTTACAGATAGGCGCAAGCAAGATGAAAATCTGAAAAACGAGGTAGATGCCGTTACTCTGCTGATTCTTGCTGCTTGCAGCTCGGAAGATGAAGGCCAGAGTCTCCCAAATGCTCGCCATTATAATAACCCAACACCATCTCTAGATGCTAGTCAGATACTGAGCAACTCACGTCGACTTACTAGCAATGCTAAAACGTACGAACCTTCTTGTGCTTGGCGGCCTGCCAGATGTGGACGGCGGTCAAAATGCCGAAGAGAGCCGCAAACACCGCCGCAGCCGCGAAGCTAGGGTAGTAGTTCCAGATGGCACCGCATTCGCCGGGTGGGATGTAGCCATTGGCATCGGGCTCGATCGTCTGGACACACGTTGGGATGGCGATATCGATGGTCTTTGCTGGGACTGTGACGTAGCTATTCGTAACGCCGGGAATGGTGATGTACTTTGTCGCGATGAAGTCTCCCGTCGGAATAGATGATGTTGATGAAGGAGTTACAGTAGAGTCTTGACGATTTGCCAAAGAATTTGGCAAAGTGGGCGTGGGTGAAGGTCCTGATGGCAAAGCCAGGGCGGTCGCAGCCGCGGCCAACGTGATCCAAGACAAGTGCATCGTGATGAGTGTCGAAAGATGTGGAATGACGAGGAGAATTGAGCTTGATGATGTTGAATTTTCTTCATCTTCACAACGAAGTCTGCCATTCTCGCCTTTATAAGTGAGATTCTTAGGCCTTCATCGCTGGTGTAAGTGAATGTCGATAATCGCGGTGCCTGGCGATGCACAGCCCCCCACGTTCGCAGTTGTTATGTAAAGAAGCGAGCCGACCAATCGTAGACTCTCAAGGGGCGCAGCTTGTCGATGATAGCAATGTAGAGTGTGAACCCCTGCAATGTCAGCACGGTAGCTTGAGACCTGGCCGCGTGTGAGGCGTAGCCTTCCTTCGAGAGGTTTAGCGTCATCGAGAGAGAGACGTGCGGAGGGAAGCAGGCCCTGGGCAAAAAATAGCAACTAGATAATCATGGCTTGCGCTTCAATTGTACTCGAAACCACTCCTCCTGGACAGTGATAGGCCCTCCGTGCTCCCTCATCAAGAGAGCGACCTTCTTCCACATAGCGATACCGCCATTCTTCTCGTGGACGAAGCGTACCTCATCTTGCATAGCCGAATCTTTAATTCGCCGTCCTTCCGGTGGTAACGTCCCGTCATCGACGACATTGGCAATATGCTCATCGTGTCCGAGGTCCAGCTCGTGCTCAAACTCGACAATCTTGCGTCCGAACGCCAGAACAGTGTTGAAGTCCCAGAGGTTCTCCCTCTCGTGCGCAATCGTCTTCATGAGACTCAAAGCGGCGATTCGCAGTGACAAGGACCGGCACTTGATAAAGACGAATCCTAGCAGTGGGCTGAAACCCATCTCAAAGGTGAACTTGGCCCGTCCGATCCTCTGCCACATTTCTCGGAAGATAGTTTCGACTTCACGGCCAAGCTCGATGATCCGTTGGAACTTGTCCAGATGTAGATCGTATACCAATTCGCCGCGAGAAAAACACGTGCTGAGCCAAATCTTGCCTACGTGCCATTTCATCTCAAGTAGGCGTTCAACGAGCTCTTCTCTCATGGCGGCGCGCTGGCAATTATTCGGGGACTTTTGCACCATGTACGCTTGGAATGCCGCAGCCCAGTCATCTAGCAACTCGTCCATCTCATCTCTTTCCTGCATTGTTAACATATCCGGCTTGGGATGCGTCTCATCACCAAGGCGATATTCGTCAGCGGCCCGTACAAAGCGAATCGCGCGCACAAGTAACGGGTCCAGCGCTGCTTGAACCTGCTTTAAATTGTAGAACGGGGGGACTGGAACTGGATACGAGTCTGGTATGGCCGGAAACGTTTCCGGTCGGGCACCGAAGAAGAAAGGGAACACTCCAAGGCGACAGAAAGCCGGCGTGAGGTGCTCTCGAACGAATCGCGACGTAGACCTGGAACCATTGAGGATGTTTATGCCGTGCCTGCAATGGTCGATGGCACCCTTGCATTCGCCACGGAGCATATCGATACAAACGAAGAGGATGCACACAAACAGGACCGTCTCCTGGTTGTTTGTTGTTCGGAGGTGTTTGATCGCCTCGTTGTAATGCGCAACCGCAAAGGAATTCTTCTCCGAATGCCGGTCTAGGGGATCCTCCTTGAACTTCTCGTACAGCGAACTGATGGCCAATGCGGCATGTTTCGCAGCAAGCTCCTGATGAGAGACCTGAGAGACAAGATGAGTCCAGAAGTAACTATCCAAGGGCCCGGACAAGACGGGGGCGACGACTTTGCGGAAGAAACTCAAGGCCCGGAGTTCTGCGTCCGATGCGGCCTGGGTCGGAGGCGGATGGATGCGGAGCAGCTGAGCCCATGAATATGTCCCCGTTGGCGGTGTCACGTAGCCATCGCATCTCCGGCCCGTGCTGACGCACCTGTTGCATGCCGGGCGTGCTTCATCACATTTGACTCTTCGGATTCTAGGTTGGTTAGCTCTAACGTACGTGTAGGTATGAATGATGCCTTAGAGCTTGCGGCTGGGCTGTTGGACTCACTTGCAGGTTACACAGCCCGTCTTAACCTTTGCTACCCCGAGTCGAGCCATTTGCGCGCCACAAGAACAAGCAAGCAAGCAAGCGAGTTGTTAGGGCTGTGTGGTTGTTGTGTGATGGAGGTGGAGATGCGCCCTGAGAGACGCGTTTCTCACCTATCTCGTAAAGATGCGAGGTGGCCTATGAAGAGACAGGGAGTCGATAGTAAGGTATGTTTGATGTCAGGGAACGAGCCTCCTCAAGTAATGTGAGCTTGCGTACGAATAGTCCCCGCGCCGTCGCGTCGACTAGGTGGGCGGACTAGGTGATGTGCCATGGAACTGAATCCCGAGCCACATAGCGTGACGTTGTCGTTCGACGGTGTTCGTTTCAGAAGCGAACAAGAGAGCCTGAGACCAGAAACGCAGCATAATACACAGTTTCCCGGCGTGTCTTCGTGTCCAGGTTCGCAGTGACCACCCTCCCTTGCACACAGCTCGTGTCACCATCAGCCACCTACTCCCATCCACGCAACCATACCAAAAGAAGATCGGCCGGCCGCTTTTGAAAATAAGCCCCGAATCCCTCAAGTAAAAGCCCACTCTCTGCGGGGCAAATGCGACCAGGCCAATCGGGCGCCGTGGACTCTAAATAAGGTCTGCTTATCTAAGTTGTTCTCTCTCGCTTCTTCCTGCGCTTCAGTGTCATCTCAACTTCAACAATGACATGACAAGACACCTTCATCTTTGTCTCATTACATGATTCCGTCATTACAGAGTCCAGACGCATTACCGCGTTACCGAGCAAGAGGAACCTTCCAATAGTGGCATTCAACGTATTGATGCCGAGCCTACTCGAAGTCAAGCGCGTCTACTCCGTACAGTCCGACGAATCACCTCTCGATGAACACGAAACTGTGCTGATAAGTAATGTCGGTGCTCATCATCAGCACCGCTCCTAGGTCGAACTAAAAGAACGGGAAAACGGCCCGCAACAATGCGGGAAGCTTCGTGAGCATCCGAGATCGGGCCCGGGAGGCATTTGGCATACCGGCCGATCTTGAAGACGCCGGCGATGGAGCAGCGGCACGACAAGTGAACACGCTGCCGTCGGATCTGATCGAGCACAGATATTGTGAATCATCAAGTCATATTCTCGAGCTGGCTTCTGGTCGATGACGGCCTCACGAAGCCGTGTCCGACACTCCCAGCTCTTCCCAAAGCGCTCAGCAAGATAGCAACGAACCAGACCTCCAGCTTCTACGTCCTCGTCGCAACTCCGACTTATCCGGCCAATGCTACATATGACTCTCCGTCCGATGTTCTTCGCTCCGTCGCTTGCCAACCTTTGAGGCTCCGCTGGAGCCGGGCAAACGTTGAGTCCTCGACCTGGCCGATACTCTCCCCGCGCGGCTTCACCATGGCGGACAAGACGGGGTTGCGATGACACCGATGTCCGACCTTCCCGAACTGTTTCCCTGCATGTCACTTCTGTCAAGTTGTCAACACACCTCGAAACGCTCAGTCAGACTTCTGTCGCAGCTTGACGTGAACCGGCATCCCGTCAGAAATCTGCGGCGTGCCCTTCTCAGTCTGGTAGCACCGGTCTCCCTCCACAAACATTTTGGGGATTCTGGTATTCCCGCTGCGCACAGAGTCAGCGTTTAGGTCCCCATGATGGAACGAGTTGTTGAGGTGTGCGGTTTCGGGAACTTACTTGAGGGCATCCCACTCATCCCAGGCGCAGTCAATCTCAAAGTTGCGCGCGAGGGAGACCAGGACCAACTTCATTTCAACCACGGCTAGCTCTTGGCCAATACAGGCACGGCTTCCAAGTCCAAAGGTCCTCCAGCCGTGCTTCTTTGGGTGCAATGGATCTTCCGGGTCTGTCGTCATCCATCGCTCCGGCACGACCTCGTTGCCTCTCGGCCACAATTCCTCGTTGCGAGACTGCGAACGTAACCCGTCCCATATGAGGAATCCGCCAGTGGGATATTGCTCTCCTGTGATGCTGTCGGTGATGCGATAATGCGATTGTCCGTCTCGAATGACAGGAGGACCAGGAAACAAGCGCAGTGCTTCTTTGATGACTCCGCCTGTGTAGAGTAGGGAGTTGAGCAAGTGCGGCGACTCTCTGATCTTGGCGCTTGCATCTGCGGGGTCTTTGCCCAAGACTTCGTCGTGTTCGGCCCGTAGCTTTTGGCCAACTTCGGGATTCTTGGCGATGCAGTGTATCGCCCAGCAAAGAGCCGTGGCCGTCGTATCGTAACCGGCAAACATGAAGATCTTGAGCTGGGAGACGACTGTCTCTAAAAATAACCGGTCCACATTAACCACGCCAGACATGGGCTTCAGCGCCAAGTCGATGATGGTCTTGAGCCCCTCCTTCTTCTTTGATCCTTTGAGGGATCGCTCGATCGATGGTAGTAGTTCGCTGTACATTGTCTCCCTGTTCTCTTTGATAGCAGCCAGCCGCCACGGGCTGTACCACTTCCACATGGTGACAATGTTAAGATGGAGAATCACCCTAGAAATCTGGTCCATGAGAGCACTTCTGAATCTGCTAGGTCCGTTTGTCTGCTCATGAAGCTCGATATCAAGCACCGCTCGGCCGATGACATCCATGGTCAAGTTGGTCGTGGTCTCCACGAGCGGAAACATATCACCCCAAGAGCCGTCGACGCCAGCTTTTTCCCGCATAATATCGGCGAACACCTCGACATCCTCCAACATTCCGGGAACAAGGCCGAGAACGTTTTTGTTACTGAAACTGGGGTTGAACCTCGCGCGCCACGTCTTCCACGGCTCGCCTACCAAACATGCGAGGTCCATTGCTTCCGTGATCGGGGCCAATGCCTTCTTGGTCCAGTCACTACGTGGCACGCTGGCGTCGAACATGTAGTGGCCTGCTGCTTCCGGGTGCACAGTGAAAACTAGCGGAGGACCCATAGGCCACATGTCGGCATAGACTGCTGAGGGACACGATGTCCGGCCGGGGAAGAGCGTTTCCCAGTTGTCGACGATGGCTTGAGCATAGTAGTTGAAGTGTACGTCTTTGGGTAAGTGCGAGGTGAGCTTCATGAGTAGGCGCAAGTGGCCAAATAGAAGCGAGTGAGGCATCATTGGCTATGTCGTGTTAGAAGCCTGGCTTCCCAAGTGTGCTTGAAAACTCACGACTCCTTGTCTCTGAAGCTTGCGAAACCTCATTCGCTCTTGGACCATTCGAGCCAAAACGTAGCCGATGCCAAGTGCTGCGGCCAGACCCAAGAGGCGGAGCATCATTGCCATGGGGCTGTCGACCCCCGAAGCTGCGAAAAAGCCCATTTGAGCGGTCTCCTCTCTGGTGTTCCGGCAGAATCTGCGGGTTCTCTCTCAAGTCACCTTCGTAGCTCTCTCTAGCGACAAGAGTGCCGAACCACCGCTTCTCTTATACATAAGTATAACGGGAGGACCCGTCAAGGATTGACATATGCCGCGGTCGTAAAATGACAAAAGGCAGGGCCATCATTGGTTCCACGATCAAATACCCCTCTCAAACCAACGGTGGTATCGCAGGCCGAGGAACAAGACTGACGTAGAGTCGGCCGCCTTCTTCATATGTGCATGCCCCCGCGGGACTCTGCATCGGGATTCTCCATTCTTCAGGCTTGGTTTTGCAGAAACGGGTCGAGAAAGCCGTTCGTTGCGGGTGCTTTGTGGGAACTTTGGGCGGGGATCTGGCGGCTTCTGGATCTGCGAGCAAGGGTTGTGCAGGGCTTCCGAGGGTAACCTGACTTATCGTAACTGCGCCGTTGGTCGGTTGGTTGAATTTGGTTCTTTGGTATATGTAGTGTAACGGTGTAACGGTCGACAGCGGATAAGTGACATGTGCTCGCATATCCGTATTGGTGTTGGTGTCGCACATCATTTGATCATCTCGAGGTGGCTCTGAGTACCTCAACTTCGAGTGGTGTTCTCGGAAAACTTTCTTGGTACCACAGTAGCCTTGACGTGACAAGTATCTTGACGTGATTACAATTACTCGGCGTACGACGAAACTCGTTGTTTCTTTCACTTGCCGCATTAACTACATCGTCGCTTGTTCCCAGGTGAACACATCTTACCTACTTCATCAACGAGGCCTTAATTGATACAAACTTTCATGTTATGAGAGACCCTGTATATTTTTCTCGACCCATATCTCGTTGCACTGTCATTCAGCTCAGCCCATTCTGTGGCTGGAAATGTCGCCAGGTGTCTTCATACTATTTCGGGGTGAGTCATGCGGCAAACACAACTAACCCGATGAGACTCAACACATAGAGCACGATCTGAGCAGCGCCACCAATACACCTTTAAGAAGGAGGCAAAGACCCTTCTCTAAATCGAGATACTTACTGAAGAATAATTATGGTTCAAGAGATCAAAGACTAAATTCATTAAGTGGGGTAATCTTTTCTTGATAAACTCAGCTTTGTCCTCGAGGGACTGCCATTCATAAGCAAGAAGCACCCACAGGCAATTGGAAATTATCGCCAGAACACAACCACAATGTCGGAGATCGACCCTTCAAGCCCACATATTGCCACCTTCATGGCCAAAGTCTCCGCTGAGCTCAATATTCCTCTTTCGCCACCCAAGGATGTAACAGCTTTCGGCGACAATCCGGCCTTGAAAGACGAGCTCCTGGATCTTCTGCTTCAGGGCAAGAAAACATCTACAACAACCTGGCCAATCCCTGAAACGCTTCATTGGGGAGTTGGTGACCTTTCCATTATACTTGACGGCAAAGGAGAACCAAGGGCTATCATCAAGACAACGTCGTTTGAGAGATGCAAGTTTCGGGATGTAAGGGAGGAATTCGCGCTTGCGGAGGGAGAGGGGAATTATCAAGAATGGAGAGACGGGCACAAACGATATTTCGAGCGCAGCGAGGATTCAAAGGATTTCAGTGAAGACGTTGAGGTGCTATGCGAGTGGTTTGAAGTAGTGTATCCTCAAATTACGAGGAAGTAGAGTCGAGCAAACCCATGTTGGGGAAGAGAATGTGAAAACCGCTTTGGCTTGGGTCAACAAATATCAACAGATAAGAGCTAGTATAGCAAAAGTTGTATCAAATAATCTTCTCCAAGAGCAATTGACGTGTATGGAAGTGCTCCGAGACAAAAGAGAAGTGATATGCAGCTTATTGCCTCGAAATGCAAAAGGATTGGGCCCTAACCAGGATTCGAACCTGGGACCTCTCCCAGACGTGTCGTGAAGACCCTAAGGGAGAATCATACCGCTAGACCATCAGGGCGGTTGAACTCGAACTGAGCTTGTTATCGATGAGATCGAGAGCGAGATGCGAGACTATGTTGTGTTTGTGGGTGGAATAGGGCTTTGTCGCTCGTGGGGACGTTTGGGGGCCGAAATGAGGATCCGCGGGCCGGTCCCGGACGCCCACAACCCGGAGGGACCGGCTCTGGTGTGCCGGAACCCCGTGGTGCAGTGGTCCTGTAATCTGGCCAGCGGGCGCGGGTTGAGCTTGAAAACTGGCGCAAAGGGTGCTGCATATGAGGCAATTTGTGATAGGATCCAGTTGTCACAAGCGCACCAGCGAAGCCGGCTTTCTTTTTACACCAATGAACATTGAAGTCTCAAGAGTGAGAGACGAGTTCCTAGACTCTAGTCACTTGGGCTACATTCTGGACGCATCGAGAGTCTGCCCTTGGACGTACTCAAATTTCGACCCCAGGAATTCATTCCAAAGATGTTGGGCTCTCATTCCCTAAATTCCCGAAAATGGGCTCCTCATCTAGTTCCATGGGGATTTGGTGCCCCGCTGTGTGCACCCCACGTTGATGTGGACAGCTTGCATGGGATTTTTTCTTTCCAGCATGTTGCTGGACCTCTTGTGGGTTCACAAGTACAACGCGGCAGTCCGGCAGAAAATTTTGGGAAGAAAGGGTGAGACTATAAATACTAGAGCAATAGTGTTGTGGTTTTCAATTTCTTGCCAGTCGCCAAGCGAAATGGAGTACTCTCGATTTCATCATGCAATGTGTAGAGGTGAGTCGAGCCGGCGGTGTGCTTTGCGGGACTCAGGAGACGGGGAATGCGGAGAAGATCTCCGAATGTAAGATCTTGAAAACCCGAAAAGAACTGCTTTCGAACCTCAGAAGCACAGGCGTGGTCTCAGACCTGGACGCTCATTTTGAGCCAAAGAGTGCTGTATTGCTGCACCCGTGCAGAGTTGGGGAATCTTAGAAACATTGCATTCCAGTTGGTCCCGGTTCTGGAGCTTCAAGCATAACTGTGACTAGCTCTCTCGTGAAGCAGATCACCTCAAGTGCTTACTTTCGAGCCGTAAGCTTATGTGCATTAGTGCGATACCAGTCTCGTAGGCTGGACTGATACATCTAAGCTGCATTATTAATGCTCTTTGACGCTTGAGCCTGTGACGCTACCAACCAAGTTCGCGTCATAACATGATGAACGCGTACGCCCAATGCCTCGATTGATCCGGCAGTCCGGGACAAACTTTGAGGTCGATATTTCCTTGGGTGAACCTTGATGTCGCATGTCTTCTCCTGGGAACATGCAAACTCTTCATGAATCTCCATTGCCCCAAAGATTCGTACATCAAGACGACTGAAAGCTTGACCAACATCCATAAGAAGAATTGAAATCATAGAGCGGCCTACATGACGATGCTCAGTCATGGAATTTGGATTGCGTTCCTCGCAACGGCTTACGCTGCAGTTCTGCCGTCAACGCAGTTGCCACGTGAGGTCAAAGCCTCTTCCATCTCTAGCATTGTAGTATTCGGTGACTCTTTCAGCGACAACGGTAAGCGATCGGTGGTAATTCGACGGACTTGCGTTCAGGATGGACATGACTGACGGGATGCGAGTTATAGGGAACGGGGCTGCTCGAGTATCAAATAATGCCTGGCCTACAGACAAATAGTCAGTGAACCCCTTTCCGCTATGTCTGTTCTAGTTCAATTCATGTAACAGCCAATTCAGCTACAAGGGTCGCTTTTCGAACGGCATCGTCTGGGCAGAATATGTAGCAGCTAACCTCTCATTGCCCCTTTACGACTATGCGGTAGGAGGTGCAACGACTTCGAATGCCCTTGTCCAGGGCTACACAGGCGCAAAGGGTGATATCGCTGTACCTTCTGTTATTGATCAAGTCGTCTCGTTCTTGGGGAAGATAAATCCTCAAGGAGGAGCCTTCGAAGCGTACGATTCGATGGCAATGGAAAGCCCATTGCTGATAATGTTTGCTGGTGCCAACGATATCCTGTTTAACGCCAACATCAGTGCTTCGCAGTCGTATCAAATTCTTCGTCAAGCCGAAGCACAGCTCCGCGATGCGTACCCAAGTGCAAGAGTCTTGACTCTAACCCCGCCCGATATCTCCAGACTTCCGTATGGCTTCTACTTGGAAGACAATCTGGCAAAAAACCAGTTGCGAACTTTCACAGACCAGCTGGGAGAACTACTCGACAGGTCAAAGACGGGAGCCGTCAACCTTGGTCTTCGGCCGCTCTTCGACGACTTTGAGTACTATGCTTCTCCTCGGGCGTACGGATTTGACCCACTGGGAAAGTACGGCAGTTGCCTCGAAGGTGCATATGGCGAGACGCCGAACGTGACGATCTGCGGAGACCCAGATAGGCGGGTATACTGGGACGAATACCAGTGAGTTTTGGCTGGGCTCTTCTTTTCGTTTCTTTTCCGAGCCGACTTGCCGTTTACCCAGCCTTCAGCTCTCATTCTGACGTCGTGCAGTCCTACAACTCATACACACTCGTGGATTGCCAAGGAGGTTCTAGACGTCCTGAGAGGTCCGTTCTGATTACCTCTTGTGGTTGAGGGAGCGAAAGTTGGAGTTCCGAGGTTGTCGGTTTCGGCATAAATGGAAGAATGCAAGTATACGGGGGGCAGCGTAGAAGTTTTCTTGGAAGCAGTTTTACAGAAAGAGCGATGAACAAAAGCGAGACATTGGATCAGACGAAAGAAGTAAACTCGCTGGGCCAATACCAAGTTCCAATTCCAACTTCGGTCCAAGACCAGGGGACCCCCCGCAGGTCTGTCCTGAAGAGGCGAAGGCATCCCAACCCTCCCCTGCCAACTCCACTTGACCCGGCTATTGTTGACGCCAACTCTCTGTGTCAAACAAGCACGGACGAGTTGTTTGCGAGCTGAGGATACTGCGTCCCGCCCGTTGCCGCTGACAAAGATGCATCCTTCAGGGGCGGAGTTCTTGGTTCTTCGTCAAGCTGCTACGAAATCCGATGTGCTGACCATGGCTACATAAAAGTCAGACAGACTGAACTGGATCAGCTATGATTTATGATAAGATAGAAACAAGCTCAGAGTATTGAACTAATTTTGGTGGTATTCTTTCTGCATGTTCATGCTTCGGACTTGTACGATGGATCTCCATTCATCCATATTGGATGGCGAATTTCGAGTAGAATATTTTGACATGGTCCACAAGTCTTGGCAAGGCTCGTTGTCACAGAAAGCACGGTACGAAATTCAGGGCTGGTGGCCGCGTCTTATTCTCTGCCCATGATAAGCGGAAAATTGAACGCAATGACGTGGAAACAATTTGGCTTTAAGCGCTCTTGCGTTCCCGAAGCCGGACTTCCGGGCCTAGGTGGATGAAGTTATGGTTAATTGGTTATTTGGTGATGTGGCTCAACAACAGACGAAAAGAGAAGCAATCTCGGAGGCGTCTCACCGATCAATGTCACAAGCCGTTGAAGCAGGGCAAGGCAATTCGCCAATAATGCGGACATGACTTCCCGAAAGCGTTCTTTGCAGTTAGTCGAGTGTTCCCTAACGCCGCGACTCTCCTGAGGCCCAGGAGTTCCAGCCCACGTTGCCGCCCAGAATTGTTTTGTTAAGGCTGGTCCCTGTGCAGGCATGTCCCCTGGCCTCATTTAAGCGCGACGTGCTGCCATCTGATGACGCGTAACTAAGACATGGTCCGCCCCCGGTAGACAGGGAGACTAAGCAGCGTCCCATCACCTCTCTGGACTCTGCATCCCCGTTAAAAAAACAAGTGAAAACCCATGAACTAGGAACAACGGCACCGTTCCCCTCGCCCTAAAATGTAAAGGTGAAACGAAGACGACGACGTCCCTCATTTACAGCAAACGCCCCATGGTCGGAAAATAAGGGAGTAGTGGGGACCCTGGACCCGTCTTCCTTGAAACACACGGCCGTGATGGGTTGAACATCGAAAGCCAACCACTCAGAGCCTCCCACACACACTCCAGTCATGTTCCCATCCTGGAGAAGATCTGTTGTTCCTTGGTCTGGTCTAGAACCCTCGAGGCTCGAGCAAGTTGTTGGTATCAGCACTGTTGACTCGCTGAGCTGCGCGCATCCACCCATCCATCTGCACCATCCACCCACCCACGCGGCATCCATCCTCCTGATCCCGCCGCGGAAAGCTAGGCCAACAGTTGCCAAACTCTTGTTACCCCTGAGAACCCACCCGTTGGAAATTGACAGCAATATGGCGCCCATGCTTCTCACCACTGTTCTGTCTTGATCGAAAGCGGGAAAGTCGGGCCACCCTTCTATCCAAGCTGGACCTTGAGCCGCAGACAACTACCGAATAGTGGCAACTCGTCCGGGGCCAAAATCGCCAAACATGGTTCTTGCTCTGCTAAACGCCCACATCCCGCCGGGCTGGGTCGGCTCCCCTTGTCGATCTGTGTCGTCCGATGGCGCAACAGTTCACCATGTTGCTCGACCAAGTTGACGCCATCCTGGCAAACCATGAGCCAAATCGGTGGCGGATGGCAACCGGGATCCCAGACGTCGAGATCGATATAAGATGCAGCTTTTCTCCTTCCAAGACCAGTCTTCTTTTTGCTCTCCATCCCACTCCATCTTCATCACTTTCATTCCAAACACATTGAAGCTAGTCTTCTTTTTCCGTTCTTGATACCAAGCCTTTCATTCGTTCCTTCGAACCACATTCATTACCAACCTTTCCCACCTCACAAAACAACCTCTCAGTCAATCTCATAACTCAGACAAAATGAAGGCCAACGTTATCGCCGCTACCATCCTTGCCGCCTTCTCGGCTGGCGCTTTCGCTCAGGACCAGGAGGCCGAGTTCCCCACTGGCTTCCCTACCGACCTCCCCTCCGGCTTCCCTACCCAGGTCCCCGGCGCCGCTAAGCCCTCCGGCGGCTTCGGCGGTGGCTTCCCCGGCTTCCCCTCCGGTGGCTTCCCCACTGGCTTCGGCGGTGCCCGCCCTACCCAGGTTCCCGGCGCTGCTCAGCCCTCCGGCGGCTTCGGCGGCAACTTCCCCGGCTTCGGTGGTCACTCTGGCTTCCTGACCCGCACCCGCGGCTCCTCCGAGGAGGCTGCTGGCTTCGGCGCCCAGGCTGTTGAGACCCCCTTCCCCACCGGCACCCAGTCCGGCGGCGCTCGCCCTACCGGCAAGGGTAAGGGCAAGGGCAAGGGCAAGAACCACGGCACCGGTGCTCTCCCCTCCGGTGTTCGCCCTACCCAGGTCCCCGGTGCTGCTCAGCCCTCCGGCGGCTTCGGCGGCAACTTCCCCGGCTTCGGTGGCGATGCTCCCTCCGGCGCTCCCTCCGCTGAGCCCACCTCTGCTTAAGCGACAAAAACAACTTCGACGATGACAAATTCGGCTTATGGGTTTGACTTGGACCACTTGGTTCAGCAAACGGCTTTATCTGGAGCGTGTTTGGACGATTTCTAGTGATGGAAGATGTGTTTCTTTTCTTACTACTCCACGTGGAGCTTTCATTGTATAAATACAAAAGCCACTTGGAGTAGCTGGCTGGTACATTGCATAGGCGTTTGCTTTTTGTAAACTTATCAAATAAGAGCATCCGTCTTTTTCAAACTTCTGGGCCATGAATTTGCTGTGATTGCTAACTGAGATATGTATTCACATCAACTGCTTTGGCCTCTCTCGTTGCTTCCCCGACACCCCTTTGAGAAGCTTTTGGACCGTTATAACTTAGATCCCGGAGTGAATACTTCTCTATTACTGTTTTTGACGCAGTCGAATACTTATAAAAGATGAACTGAATTAGCGAGCCCGCTGGCTAGCTGGCCAATCCTAAGATTATTTCATTTCCTGGAAGTTACAATTTGAGTGCAACTACTTTGGCTGATGAATTTGGGATGCGCTTTGTATTTTTCAATTGTATCTGCATGCTGTTCCGTCCTTTCCTACAAGCATGGTAAACTAATAGTAACGACGTCCGCGAAGCGAAGCAGTCAAACAAGGTTTGATCACAGATCCAGGAAGGTACAGTGCGTATTTAGCTTCTTGAGTTCTGAACCAAAGTCTAAAAGTACCTTTCAGGGCATTGGTTTCCATTCACTTACCCTGTACAACTGACTACATAGGAATGTCTGTAACCTCACACAACATTTTGATGTACCCCTATATCCGTCCGCGAGCCACTTACAGGCTCACGATGTTTCTTCTGTGGCACATTGCCAGCTACCTAAATCATGTATGGCGGTGGCAGACCACTTGTATTACACTTGCCTCATCTCCTCATCTAATCGTACCTCATGCTCCAGTCTCGTCACAGGAGTTGAGTTGCTGCCATAACAGCAGCCAACGCAAAGGCGATAGTGGCAGGCTGATTGCTGTTGGCAGCGCTGGCATCGGTGCTCGAAGTAGCAGACTAGACTCGTGTTAGAGATCTTGACCGTGATCCATGGTTGCCCCAGACCAATGACCTACCGAGCTCGAGCCGGTGGCAGATGCTGTGGAAGATGCACCAGCGGTGCCGGATGTCCCTGCCGTGGTAGTCGCGTTGGTCGTGCTGTTGGAAGCAGTGACAGGCGTCGCGTCAAGGTCACATCCGTCCGCGGCTTCTGTGACACCGTCTCCGTAGTATTGCCAGATGTCGAAGGTATTCGCACACTGAAGACATCCCTCGAAGTAGTCCGTCCAAGTGGAGTTGGTGCAGTAGCCGTCCTCAGCTGCTCCAAGGATGGCGTAGCCTAGATATTGTTATGAGTCTGTTTGATCCGGCGTATGGAGCACATCGAACCACATACCGCAGTTCTCGTGGCACTCGTACTTGGCTCCGCTGGTGACCTGACGTGCGTGAAGGGGCACGATGGGGAGCCATTCCAAAGCCGTGGCAGTGGAGGCCAAGAGCGCGACAGCTGTGACGAGTCTCATACTGACGACAATGGTGACTAGATGCGAAAGGTGGCGGATGAACTCGATCAATAATGACGAGGCAATAACTAGCAAGAAGGCTGCGCGGTAGAGAATACGCGCTGCGCCGCATCTATATAGTATTTACCACTGCAGCATCCCGAGCGAGCAGATTGTTTGCATACGCAACCTCTCCCGGGAATCCTCTTGGTGGATCGATAACTCGCAGCTAGATGTTCTTGGCTGGATGCCTTCAGCCGAAGGGCGAATCATGTTCTGGCGGCCGAGAGTGCCGAGGTGCTCAGGTCGCATCGGCGCGGGTTGAAGTGGGGGATCAAGGATAGTTACGTTGCGATGCGCAAAGTTTCGAGCAGATTTCTGCAATGACATCGTTCTACAGCAAGAGGCACAGACGAAACACCAGTTTGCAGTAAGTTAAATAAGGTAAGTTGCTGTTGGAAATCCAGTTCACTTCCCCGACGATGAACATAATCCGAGGCAACTGAACAGCTCAGAAGACATCTTACATCAACAAACTCACTGCTTACATTTCTATTCTATAGAGGTATGCTCTTCAGTCAGATCCAAGTTTTAAAACAGGGTTCCCATGCCGATGTGGTAGGACAAGATCTGGGCGCATCTTATGATTGGTAGATGGCATCTTATCAGATCATCTGATATCCGCTCTGCAATCTCGGTTTCCCTCCACAACACGACACACCTGAGGCCAGCATCTCGGTGCTCCTTTTCTTCGCCTCAGGCCTTTAGGCCGAGACATCTCAAAGGTTCTCCTCCGACTCGGCCGGGACTCTCTCCGGCCAACGGACCACAACCGCCGAGGAACACCGGCCGGATCGCCTCATTGTTTGAATGGAAGAAAGGGTTGGGCACGAACAGGCCCGGCCGCTGACACCCTTGTCATAATCCTGGTCCAATAATCCACCATCATGTGGAGTTTCTTCCTTCGCAGTCTTGCGGTGTGGGCTTGCTCCCCGGTCGAATACGCACCCAACTCCGTTCGCGACCGTTCGACCCAATCACTCCCCCGACATGCCAGTCAAGGATTTGTCGTCTTTTGAAAGATCCGGTTCGTCGCAACGTGCTCGCAGCGGATCCTCAACAAACGAACCATGGCGCAAAACTCCCGATCGAGTCTTTGGACGAACCACGCGAGTTCTTACCGCCAAACTTCCAGCCCACAGATGCATGGCCAGCTCAGTTATGCTAAACCCATTCCGCTCGTTCTTCAACGAAAGAGTCTTGTGCGCCGATGATGTTCTTGTGAATCGCAGGGGATCGTGAAAAAAACCACGGAAACCGAGTGGCTGGCCAACTCAACGCCCACCGCCTCTTACGCGCCCCGGCTCGGCGTCCGTTGCCCGGGTGCTCAGTTGTTCGCCTCACGATGGCAGTCTATTGTCTATTAAAGACTGGCCAGTGGCCGCATCTCTTGTCTGAGTTTCTTTCTTGGAAGATATCCTCTTTCGAGGTCCACCTCGATACACCACCAAAACAATCATTCAACATGGCTCAGGCCTCGCCTTCGTGGCAAAGGCTGTTGGGGCTGCTGTCAGTGCTTCTGGCACTGATCCTCGGCGTCTCGGCCGGGGAGCACGGTGCTGCTGTCACCGGCTGCCCCGCCGATCTCGCCTCGGCCCCGGAACACACCTTTTCTGCCGGCTTCGACAACAGCACCGACGTTGCTGAGACTCAAGCAGAGCGCTCGCACGTCGAGAAGCTCGCGGCGACCAGCTTGCACGGCATGGGTATGTTCATTCGTCATCAACCCATGCGTTCTTGTTCACAGACTAACACCCCTTTCTCAGGCGCCCGATCCAGCTTCGAGGCTTTCCGAGTCGATATCCCTGCCTCATGCAACACCCCCAGCATGAAGAGCTCCCTCATCGAGCTCCCCATTAGCTTCGCCAGTCTGCACATGCACCTGCAGAACATCCGAACCAAATAACCTCGATGGCGGTTTGCCCAACACTCAAACCGCCGACACGAGATGAACTACTTCACCCGTGTTGGATTCGAACCTACGATCTCCGACACACTTAAACCCTAACGTCGGGGTGTGCTTGGTGTACCATGATATTACACACTAAGCAAGTCCCGAACCCGACTGCCCACACAGATGAGCCGTCACACAACAAACTATCTACGACAGGAACGACATGACTATAACGAAACGAAACTCACGACAAAAAGAACCTATGCAACGAAACACGATGTCACGGACAATATCCCCTCAACCATATGGCTGGTTGAGAAGTACGACGAACGACCTTTTCTTTACCTCTCAGATACCAAAACCTTTCTCCCTCTTCACCGAGGTTTCAGCCACTTGGCTCTTTAAATACATCTTCTTTGTCTTGAACAAGACTTTCCGTCCCGATGCCAGTGAATTAACCCAAAGTCCGATAAGATTGACATGCTTCACTAATGTACAGAGTAGTTTATGGGAATCTGGCGAGTTTGAAGTGATGCCGTTCTGGTCCACAAGCGTTCAACTGAATAGCTTTCCATACCCATACATACACACAACGAGACATGTAGATCTGCTAACAGTCATCAGTGCTGGTGTGAGTCTTCCGCCGATGTGAGTCTGGGAGTCCCCCAATCACGCAGATTTATGTCAGTGATTTTGATAATAAAATTGAGTTGAAGGCTGCCTTCTGTGGACGGCAACTAGTACGCATGCCATGCTGCAATGTATAAAACGCGCCATGTAGACAGCAGAAGCGTCAGGCGCAAGGCATTATGTAAGAGAGCCCAGTGGAGGTATTGAAAGTGCATGTAATTTGAGTATAAGAAAGACGATGTGGAGGGAGAGAGATCAATATTTGTGGGAATACAGGAAGAAGAACTTAAGCAGCCGGCGTCTTCGAATGGTCAGACACCGAGGAAAGTGCCTGACATTATCCGAACTCGAGTTTCGAAACTCGGACTTGGTTGACCTTTCCTGTCTCAATGCCAGCCCAATCGTCACAAGGAAGACGGCTTGAGTCAGTTCCGCCATGACGAACGTCCTGATATGCTATTCACCCATTACTCGGAAACCCCAGCGCAGATGCGCGCAAAAGGAGATTGCTTTACAAAGTAAAGTTAACAATCATTTCAGGGTACTTGCGATTCCCATCTCTTCACCGCACCAAATCGTATTTCCTCTCAATTCAATACGTTTATCTGTAAGATACTATGTCAGCTATTTCCACAGAGTTTTTATTTTAACTAGTTCAAAACTTACTAAGGTCAATGATGTTCATCCGCAATTCTTTATTGACTCCATCGGCGCAATAGCACGTCATCTCGACCTTTTTCTTGTTGGCTTTACCAAGTGAACACTTTTCGCATGACTTATCAAAACCGCCTCTGGAGTGGAACGAAGAAGATTAGCGGGAAGAATTCAGGGGAGGCTGCGTGCATTCTAACCGTCTCCTCCATTGTATTTTTCCATGGTCGTTGACGAGGCATAAGTTTAGATTTAGCTCGTTATCATACGGCTTGCCGTCCAATGCTGTGCACCCGGCCAAAACTTTGTAGAAGGCGCGTCTCGGACATTCTTTACATGGTTTATAAAATGCTTCCTTGAGACTGACTGTCTTGCAGGGTTCCATGAAGCCACCTTCAGATTCAGCGAAGGAGGTTGTTGCAAAGAAGGCAATCATTGCAGTGATGATGCCGGTCATGAGCTTCATTTTCGCTACTCGTGAGGGACGATTGCGAATGAGACTGTGCCGTAGGGGGATGTGAATGGGAAGCAGGTCGAAATTCGAATACTGTTGCAATTGACTGTCTCCTATAGCGAGGCCGTTGTGTGATACATGAGTGCGAGATAGCGAGAGGAGGAAGTTCAAAGAGTAGACATTGGGATACCGGGCTATTTCAAGCCTAGTAATGAGGCCGTAGTCAAACCACTGTATGAAGGGCAAGGTAAGAACGGTCGCTATGATTTCTATCATCTTTTCTTGTTTTAATGTCAGCATTCAGTGGGCGGTGAACGTGGACGGTGTCTGAAAGGAAACTGCTCAGATCTCAAAGGGGGAGGTGGTGAAGCTCGTGATGTCTTCTTCCCCAATTGGAGCCTGGGAAAGTGCGATTTGGGGGCTGAGGAGACATGGTGATAGAAAGAAACACTGATTGTTGTACTGATCTCTGATGTATATGGTGCCTGGCCTTCTGAGTAGGTGATCGAGGTTCTGATAGGTTGCAGAATGCCTCAAAGGCGGTTGTTCACGGTTCGTAACAAACATGTGACTAAGTGCTATGCACATCGTCTTTCTCAGCATGTTGTTTTCCCAGGGAACAGGAGAGAAAAATCACCAAGACTTACCGTCATTGCCAGCAGAGTAGGCTCGTTGGAGCGGGTTTCGGCGTTTTCAGGCTTGGCTATGAACACCGCCTTTGTTCCGCAGAACCTCATGAAGGCCAAGAGCTGTCGATGTTCTCTCTCCAAAGAACCAACCACTCGATCCGGCATGACCGCCTCATCAAATGACATTCATAGGTGCGCAAGAAGCAGAGTTTGAAATCTTTCGTATGGGTCCTCTACCTAAGACGGTCGATATACGGCACTCGAACCGACCGGACTGAGGGGTATCACCACTCACCTCGAGATACTCGCGTAAGTATTCTTGTTTATACCAAACTTTTCCAGGTTTCTTGCGACCCTACGTCATTACTTCTTTTTTTTCCTCTTTGATCACCTGACCCGGTTGCTCCTTCTTTCCGAATAGGCAGAGAAAAAAAAATGAGGCTCATGAACACCGGGGGATTTATTTCTCCACGGCAACCAAATTTTGCAGCCTCCATCTACCAACCTCATCCTCTCCCACTCTACCCTACCCCCTTTTCTACTTTCCTATCGCACACAATTTCCAATTCTTTCCTTTCCAATATTATTTCCTTTCACTATCAATTCAACTACCAACGCGGCTCATCCTCGTCACACTCCTCTTCCCACGATCAAAGCACCACCAACCCAATAGCCTCATCGCTTCAATCACAGCTTTCCTGGACGATTCGCCATATCGAAATCTCACAATGCTCGAATTTCCACGCATCTTCCCTCAAAGATTCTTTTCATGACGACTGCGGGCCTTATCCAGTGAGGCAAGCTTGCCGGAACGCGTCACTCGCGTCGCCCTTCGGGTCCTTACTTCACCTCCAGCTTGGCGCCACGGCATCTTCAACTCTTCTCTCTCATCGACGACTTCAAGCGGTCCCTCCAATACCAACAGCTCAGGTAAGTGCGAAGATATCCCCAGATCTAGGCGACCTGGAACCCGTCGTCCGCCAACGGATTCTCGAGGAATGCCCCCGTCTACGCGATCACTGTCCAATATCGGTCCAGCACCCTTTTCTCACAATGTCCCATACTTACTCTTCCTTCCCTCAGAATTAGAGCCCAAAGAATTGATCGCTCTTGCTGCTTGAAAATTCTGTCTAGAAGGCGGTGTGAAGCCTGCCAATTTTCTCCCCTTGACCTCACCTTCCTACCAGGCAAGTACTCATCTCCCCGATCTTTCGGCACAAAGCCGCCTCTCCTTCGTCCCTACAATCTTCGTCTCTTCATACTTCGTCTTTTCTCTCTTCGTCCTTCCACACTCAGTCCTTTCATACTTTCCCTCTACACACCTCGTCCCGTCGCACTTTATCTTTTCACATTCGTCGCTTCATACTTCGTTTTTTCACACTTCCTCCCTTCATACTTCCTCCCTTCGCACTTCGTCGCTTCATACTTCATCGTTTCATACTTCGTCCTGTCGGACTTCGTCTGTTCACACTTCGTCTATTCATACCTCTTCTCTTCACACTTCGTCTCTTCACACTTCGTCTCTTCACACTTCGTCTCTTCGCAATTCGTCTCTTTGTAGTTCGTCGCTTTTCTTGCTCATCGCTTTTCGTCCAATTCATGCTTCAATGCTTTCGAAATACCTATTCATCAAGTCTCTTTACTCATCGCTCTTTACCTCAGTGACCCAAGCTTCACATGCTTTAGTCCACCAGTCACACTACAAAGGTAGTCAAATTTTCTGCTCTAGCATGAATCCCAGCTCTCAAATGCACACCATTCTAGCCCTACTCTACGACTTCACATTCTCACTGGAATTCTTGGCTAACTCATCGTGTTCTAGATACCAAAATCGGATGACGTTCACCGTCTGAAGAGATACGACGAGAGATACGACGATGCCTTCGTCGCATCTTCGGACGTATCGTCGCATCTCTAGGATTTTCTCAGTCCCGTCCGAATGCAACTTCCGACGGACATCGCCATCTCGACATGTCGCCTGACCACTACCAAGGTATGCGCTGCCATTGAGGTTACAATCGCTCTTGCGAAATTGCAGTCTCCAAAGGCTTGCTCGAATCATGGCCCATAAGAAAAGGCTTGGAATGTATTTGTTCAAAATCAGGTATGTTAACTACACATTCAAGCAGAACATTACTTGTCTGAGAACGAGCTGGCTGTCCCGTCTCTCTCTGATCATTCTTCTTATTGGTGGCATGAATGTTTGCTAACAATAGCCTTTGCCAGACCTCTCAAAAGAGCATGGGGACAATAGAGCCTCTGCTCTCTCTATTGGTTTGTCTTCTCAAGACACAGCTTGTTTCAAGCCAGAAGATGCCAAGTTGAACCCAACTGCTCGAATAAGTCTACGTTTCCACCAGCGGCTCCAGCTCTGAGCAGCCTTTCGGCACTTCTTAGCGTCCCAGGCATGCCTGAAGCCATCAAACAACCGACGTGGCATCAACGAGGTCGGGGCTTGCTACCCTGGCCTCGCATTTGGGGTGACGTGGGAGACCACGACCACCCCGCGTGCGTCACGGTCCCTCATACCGGCGTTGGAGTCTCCGTGTCCGCCAAAAAACCTCAGTCAGCTGTCTGCGATGTGGTACAGCGGACACGGCGAGTCCAACGCGGGAATCTCGTACATGAGAGGGCCGAATGGCGAATCGGGGCCTGCCATTTCCATCATTATGGCAGATAAGTACAGCGATATCGACGTCGACCGAGGTGACGATATCGTCTACTGCGGAAGCAATTCACTTGATAACACCTCGAGCAACACTCCCGCCGATGACGGACCGCCCGTTCGGGGTAATGCAGAGATTTGTTCGAAAATGCTTCAAGAAACCTCAATGGGCAATTCGAGATTCTGCCCAAAAGACCCCTTAACCGAAGTTGACGTTCCCTTCCGGGAGTCGATGGCATTAATCATGGCCCAGCGCCTTCAATCATCATGGCAGACAAGTACAGCGACATCGACGTCGACCGAGGTGACGGCATTATTTACTGCGGAAGCAATTCACTTGACAACACATCGAGCAACACTCCCGCCGATGGCGGACCGCCCGTTGGAGGCAACGCAGCCCTATTCAAGCCCACAGAGAAGAATATTAGACTTGTTCGAATATGCCCCAAGAACCCTGAGCGGGTGACTCGGAATCCTGTTCCAAAGTTGAACAGGGACTGGCGCTCTCGAGCCCTCAGAAAACCATTCTGAGGGTATTTCCACCAGCTACACCGGCAACTTCCCCTAGACGGGCCATTATCATGTACTTCCTCTAAGAGGGCCGGTCCTGGCTTGCTCGAATACCAGAACAATCCAAGATGCGCGCTCTTCCATTGTTCGAAGAGCTATGCCTAGCCCAGCTTCCGGGCGAGACTTTTGGCTCAATATACGCCATCAAGAGAAAGCTGGAGATCATCAAGAGGTTTCCGCCCGAGGGACGATCCGGAAAACAACATCGCGTCCTCACTTCGCCCGTCAGGGATATTTCAGCTTACCTTCTCTTCTCAAACGACTCGACGTCGAGAACACCATCCACCCACGCTTCAATCAGTGCTCGAATGCGGAAATTTATTTTGCTCGAATGCTTGACAGCAGCATCAGTTCGACAACAACGCTTCTGACGCCGACACTCCTGACAGCAACATGAACGCCCTGGTTACGGCATTCAGACGAATTGCAGAACAGCAACGACCAGGTTGTCGGTGGTTATCTTCAAGATCTCCCTGACCTCGAAGATCTCCCTGACCTCGAAGATCTCCCTGACCTCGAAGATCTCCCTGACCTCGATGATCTTGACGCTCACCTTAGGGACCCTAGCTCATTTGCTTTCACGGGCGCCGAGCAGAGTATCAACTTCCACACGAGTTTCGAGGGGATGCCCCCAAACGGTCCGGCCGATCAGTGCTTGGGCCCGACAGTCCTCCCAGAAATTGAACAGGTCAACAACAACAGCAATGACCTTAGTTTTTCAAGACGGAGTTACAAACGCTACTCCTCCTCTCGCCTATGGGCCCGCCACTGGCCACGCCGCCATGTGGATATTTTACACTGTCAAGCACGGCGAACATGAAAGAGATCATGAACAACTACGGTCTCACGGCTGACGATAAGGACATTTCTCGCACACGCCCAAGTCACTGACACTATCACAATGATCGCCCACCACGCTCAGCAAGCCCACCCCGGGCCTATTACCGCTCGCGGTTATTTCGAATCAGCGACATCAAAACCAACCCTCGGGGCAATGCTGGCTGCAACTACCCCCCGCGTTTTCCGGAAGGCGATGTTTGGGGGGCGTTTGGGGTCCTGCAGAATTCCCTGGTTCCACAACCCTGCTCGAAAGCTTGTTCGAAAGCCTGCTTCAAGGCAATTTTCAACTTTGCTTTCAACAACCCCCGCAGGCGGGCGGCATTTCACGGCGCTGGACGCTTTGTTTTTCTTCGACTTTCGAATGTTGGCGGCGTCACTGCTCGAATAAGTCGAACAGGAGTGCTGGAAGCCTCCATCTGCTACTGGGGGAGCATCCCGGATTGTGTCGGGCGTTCGCATAGTCGCCCAGAAGGAGATGGCCCCTCTGTATACTCGTCTATGCATTGGGGAGGGGGAAGGAACCCCCGAGGGCATCAAGGGTGCAGCGTGGGAGAGTTATACTCGGAAAGACTGCTCGAATGGAAGAGAGCGCTGAAACGCTTCTCATCAGGTCTCAAGATTAAGCACATCAGGATCCTCCCGATGGACTCTTGATCCTTTAGGAGTGTTTAGGGCACTCCCGAGGGCATCAAGGGTGCCGTCTGGGAGACCTGATGAATTCGACTCCGAAACATTGCTCGGAAAGTTGTTCGAAAATTTGTTCGAAAAATTGCTCGAATGAAGGGGGGCGCCGGACACCTCTCGCGAGGTTTTGAAGATTGGGCATCTTCATGGTCTCCTGCTCCTTCTGTGCGATCATCTCGCACAGAAGGAGATGTTGCCCCAGTCAACTGAGCGCATCGTTGAGGTCCAAGGCACACCCGAGGGCATCAAGGGAGCGATTTGGGAAATCTGCAAGTGTCTCGTCGACGATTGGCAGATTCGACGACGAGGACCTCCAAGGAAGAACTCGGGCGCAGACAGGCAGCAGGAAGGACCACCGCCGCTGCAAGTTCAAGTACTACCAGCGCAGACAAAGCCGGTCCAAGTACCGCAACGTATACCGTTGCAAGGGCTATCCCGGAAATCACGATTGCAAGAACATGCTCTACAACCCTGTCGTTTGCACCCAGTCCGATGCAACAAACATGGCGTCGATTTCTCACTTCTTCAAACAAGAAACGCGCTAAGACATATGACCCAGCCAAGAGGATTCCAAGAAGCGTGCCAAGATCACTCACGTAGAAAGGAGGATATGGGACGGAACGGTCTTCTGCTGGAGTCAGGCAAGCATCATCTTTTGAGCTGATGTTCGAAAACATTCTCAATAGGAGGAGCCTGTCCCAGGATGATGTCGAAGGTTATTTCACTACAAGCCGTCAATCTCACCATCGACATCATCCTCGGAATACTTGAAGTCTTCGTCATCGCTTGGAGTCTGGTGGTTATCGGCTAGGCTGAGGGCCGCCGCAACCCTGATGACATTCCCAAATTGAAGTTGCGGGGGTGAGGGTATCGACATGGACGTGGGGAGTGCTCGAACAATGGGAGACACAGGTTCGAGGGCATGGATATGGATGATGGTGAAGGGTCAAAGGGAAGGGGTTACGGAGGTGAGGGTATCGATGTGGATTTGGGAAGAGACCGAAGAGCAGCAAGTACGGGAGTGAGGGGATGAAGGAAGCGAAAGGGAGTGTTCAAAGAGTCGTCTGAGGTTTGGAGGTTTGGACATCAAGCAATATCTGAGCCGAGGCGCTCTCTCATGGTCGGCGAGCCTACTACTCAACGTTTCGAACACGGTGTCCGAGAGCAGAGGAGTTGGACTGCATAGCTCGAAAGAAACAGAAGTAATTCATGGTGGAGAGGACGATAGGGGGGATTAGCTCAATACTACAGAGCGTACTCATAGAGAACGGACAAAACGCCTTTCTCAGTCATCAAGTCCTCAAGTCAGTGCATTTGTGAGAAGGGCCTTGGCGAGGAAAACCTATCAGAAGCCATAGACGCAGGCTGGACTCACTCTGGGTGTGTTTTGCACGTCTTCATCAATCGAAATCTGCTAGGTATATTCATGTATCGTGACACCGCCTCGCCGGGAATCATTCAAACTTTGGTGGATGTAGTCCACCTTTCATCGTAGTTTCAAAGAACTTCACTTCCCAATCGCCATTTTCATCTCTGCATCAGTCTAGAAAGAGAAGAACGTCGCCGCCAACAGCGCAGCAAATCCAAGACCAAGGGAAGGCGCAAAGCCACTTGCAGCATCAGGCTTGGCCGTCGAGGTCGCGGTACCAGTGACAATGGTGCCAGGAGTCGTCGACGTCGGCGTAGCGTCGGTCTGCTGCAGGATGTAGATCTCGCCCGTTGAATCGGAGGTCATGAACAAGCGGTTCTTGGAGTCCCAGGCGAGACCGACGGGGCGGAAGCACTGGTCGGGGCAGGTGCTGAGATCCTTGTTGTACATGATGTTCTTGAGAGCGTCGGTCGAGTCGCTCTTGGCGACGGGCTCGCCGTTGGAGAAGTCGACTGCGGTGAGGGCGTAGCCGACGGGGTTAGGGCGGTTGACTGCGCGCTATGTTAGAATTCTGATGGACTTGTGATCGGGTGGGTGGAGACACTTACAGCTGCCGCGGAACGACACGAAGGCCTTTGAGCCATCGTCATTGAACTTGAGGAAGACGGGGGATGAGTGAGACTGGAAGGTCAGGCGTGGAGCGACGTAGTCGTTGTGGCAGCGGGTATCGTTCATGGTCGAGTTCTGCTCCATGGAGAACTGGTCGCCGACGTTGAGAGAGCTGTTGAGCGGGATGCTAGTATCCCAGACTGCAAAGCACCGCGGGTAACCGTAGTTGCTGGCGTCGGTCTCGTTCGCAATAGTACCGAGCAGGTTGAGCTCCTCACCGGGGTTGTTGGCGTGAATGTCGACGCCGTTGCGCGTGATATCATCAATGGAGTTGTCCATCGCCCAGACGTTACCCGTAGCCGGGTCCTCAGCAACGGCGACAGCATTGCGAATACCCCAGCCAAGAAGCTTGCCATCCGTGTTGAAGTCGAAGGGGTTGTTGCCGGACTTGCTCAGGTCAAAGGCCTTGACTTGAGCGTGACCGCTGTTGGCATCGAGGGCGTCAATGTCAAAGTTCTCGTCGACGCCGCGGGACACGACAAGCCAGTTGCTAGAGGCCTTGGACATGACCAAGGTGCGCGTGGTCTGGTCGTTGTTGGCCATGTTGTTGATGACGACAGCGGGTTCGGCGTTGACGGTGCCAGCCTTTGCGTCGTAGGCCCAGGCGAGGACTTGTGAGACGGAGGAAGCGTACAGGGTCTTGCCATCTTCTGAGAAAGCCATGCCGTGTGTGAGCTGGAGGATGACATGTTAGCACTATTACCGCCTCCGGGGATTCAAGGAAGTGAAGCCTCACTTTTGTGTTGTTCACAAGTAGCTTGCTCTCGGTCAACGTCAGACATGTACCGCCATTGTCCTTGAATGTGACGCGGTAAACACCAACAGCGGCGTCCAGGACGAGCAGAGCACCCTCGCTGTCAACGTGAATTGTGCGAGGCTTCTTGAAGCCATTGGCGACGAGCTGTGCTTGCCAGCCAGCGGCGACCTGAGGAGCATTGTAGCTGGGGGTAATGATATCGGCGCATTGTTGCGCGAGCGCCGTGGTGGCGGCTGCTACCGCGAGCGCGGCAGTTGTCAATCCCTTCATTTTGGCTGGGGTGGGGTAAAGGAGCAAATCTGGATTCAAGCAATCGCGAGAGGCTACAACGCTGTCACCTTTGAGAACTGTCGAGCGTACATAAATAAAATGCCCCTGATATATTCAAGGTGAGGGGAAGCTCAGTGGCAAGGTGAAGAGATCAGTTAGCCACAAAATAGCTTCGGAGCAGATTGGAACATGTCCCGCGAGACGGGTAGCGAGGCATCTGTCGACTTTCAGGGTGGCTGTCCAAAACTCCACTTAAAAAACGAGAGAGACAAAGCTCTCTGGTTCGGGATAAGATGCCCCTCCATCATCCCCCCTCCATCGCCTCCTTGTGCGGCGGCTCGCGAGTGGTTGACATGTACGCGAGCGGGCGATCCTCTGTGCCTCTTTGGGAGCTGCTCACCTGCTCTAGCGCAATCGGTGGACGGTACGGCGACTGGGCGGCGGAATGGGTGGGTAAGTCGACCCATGGGAGCTCTTAGGGTCTTCGTTGGATGAGGGGATCAGAAAGCCTGAGAGGGATGGCATGACTGCGATGACGGTGGACGGATGGAACGACGCCTCACATGTGTGTGTCTGGCCGTGTTGGGTCCCTCGCATTGAGCCAACGCGCCGGCGTTGCTTTTGCGGCCAGCCACTCTGCATGGCGTTGCTGCTGAGTGATGCAGACGGCAGTTAATGAGGGTATCGCGAGGGTGAAGCATTGGGTCTCTGGCTACGGGCTCACTACTCAGGCCTCAAGATGCTTTGGTGTTGTGGCATGCAGTCAGGAATGTTCATATCTGTTGCCCTGAGCATTGGACCTTGCTTGAAGACAACACATGGACTGAAGCGGAATGAGAAGTCTTCCTTGAGTATCTAACATCGTGAGAGACAAGGTCCGAATCCGGCGTCGAGGCATCGCTTCCCACCCAGCGACACAGGTCGAACAAGATCTGGATTGGTGTGGCGGATTCAGTAAGGCGCGAAAAAGAAAAAGTTGTTCGAAAGGCGCACATTCTCTTCGTAGCGTCGCAGCGTCGCGCCATGCTATCGGACGGCTCACGTTTGATGTGGGGGAATAAGCATGCAAGACAACCTTAGCTGCGTCTGTTCAGTGGGCACAGGAGCGGGATCCACGACCCGACGGTGGCCGAAGGAGGCAGGTCGTCGGATTTCCGTCTGCTTGGAGCTGGGTCTAGGCGGATCGCGGGTGTGGTGATTCTGGCGATGAGGGGCAACCCATGTGGTGGTGGCCAAGGATCGTCGTCGAGATGTTGCGACTCGAGACTTCATCATGATGTTGAGAGGCACTTACGGAACACAAGCATGGAGCTGCAAAGCCCAAGTCATTATCTGTGTACCTGTCGCTGATATGTCTTCACCGAGTTTGACACGATCGGGCAATACAGCGTCACGAGCGTGAAGAGAGAATGTGCGTCCACATGTCTCTCAAGGTGACGGATTCAGCTTCAAGCTAGCACCACCAGCTTGAGCTTCACCGCTGCTAGTATGGCGTATCTGGGATGACACATGTTGGTTCCTGAACGGCGTCTTGGCTGGACTCTGGTAGCGCCCACAGATACGGGTTGTGCTTGCATTTGAATTCTCGCCAACGGGAATAGACCGAAGTCACGATGTTGTTAATAATCAACAAAAAGAAAGGCCGCAATGCAAGCAAGAAATCCTCCGCTCCCATAGAGTCCCCATTTCCGTAGGGCGAGTCCACTCTCCGGCCCTCTCCTCGGCGCATCTGTCGGGGCCTCGTTCTCTACGGAGTACAGATCGATCATCACATATCGTTACACTTACCACACGGCATATCGGCTCTGTTAACCATGAATGAGTCTTGGCAAAAGTACGAGAAGAGCCAAGGCCTTGGTAGTGTCTGAACTCGTCCCTTTGCTTTGCCCTGACGCCCATTGACCAACCACCTCTCTGTGTGAGCTCACGCTTCGCAATCGCAGCCATCCACCATCCTGCCATCCCACCACTTCGGACAAATATTTCTTACACTCCATCTTCTGAGTCTTGACACAAGCAAATCAAAGCCAAGAGCGTTGAAGCGTCTGAGCTAGACCACTCCCGTGTTACACCATGCACTGCAATCATGGTCGACTTTCGAAGACGCTGAGAATGTGCCCAGCCGACATTCTCATTTGATTTCTCTTGTCCAGTTAGACAACCTATGGTCGCGGACATGAAGTTTTTGCAGCTCATAGCCCGCAGACCGCGATCATGCCTCGTCACTCTGTAAAAAGTGGAATACGAGGCTGAGTCCAGATCTCGCATCCCGAGGATGGCGATAGAGGCTATTTTATGGCAACGGCACAGATAAATCAGCACCACCGCCCTCCTGTCACGCAAAGAAACTGCTTGGCGGCCATCAGACTTTGCTGCTGAGTGGTGGCTGCAGGGCAGGGCTTGCAAAGTTGCTTCCAACCCCGCACTAATCACTCTCTGATGGTGCCGGTAATAGGCTCATCGCCCATCCCATGGCCCGTATCGAGGCTGTTCCCTGTCTTCTCCGAGTCGTATCGCCCCTCTTCTCGACGAGAATCCCAAGTCCACCTTGCCTTGGCTCTAGCAGCTGTCGCTTCAGAAAGTTCAGCCCAGCCATCAAACCCCCTCCTCCCTCTGAACTTCCCTCTGAACGCGAAACGGAAGAGACACCGGCCCTACCTACACTACTGTGCAGTACAGGCGTTGCAAATGGTGTTCGTCTGCTTCACCTGAGCTAAAACAGAGCTGTCTCCAGTTTCGCCTGTCA